CACCCCCAAGAACCCCCCACCCACCCAGCCTAGTTGGGGAATTCTGGGAGTTGAAGTCCACGCATCTTCAAGTTCCCAAAGTCGAGAAACTTTGCTCTACTGAATGAAAGCACCATCGCTCAGATAGAGTGCTGCTGTGTGTGGAGAAACTCCCAGGTTCAATGCTTGGTTCCTTTCGTGAAAAGGGTCCAGGGCTAAGGGATATTAAAGACCCAGGTCTGCTGAAAGGTTGAGCAGACGTCATGGATGCTGGCATCCTACTAAACTCTGGCTTACAAAATAAACCATGATTGGCCAAGTATGCAGAACAGGCTAAGGCGTAAACAACCAAATCTCACGGCCTTGTTCCAGCCCAGAGCAGGGCTCAAAAACTGGCTCAGAGTTTGATTTAAGCAGGTTGCAGCTCTCCTCGGGGCCCTAAAACTTCAGTGGATGCTCCCAAAGTCTGCAACCATGATCAGGCCCAACTTGGTTATTCTCCAACAGCAGGACGGAATGCCTGCTGAAAAAGGACTCAGATTTCTGGAAGGAATCCACGGTGCAGAACTCCAGCCTCCAGGACTCAGAAGGGGAAGCCACAAAACTGATGGTACTTGCTTAGGTTTGGAGGGGGGGCTCACCGCCACCAAGGGAGGGGGGCTGACAAGAATATGTCTGGTCTGCTTCAGCCCCAGGGAGGCAGAGCTCGGTCTGAACAATGATGATGACGGGGACAATGACAACACAGGAATGATTTATTGGAAGGCGCACCGGAGGCGAAGGGGACGCAGCGAGATGGATGGTCAAAGGTGGGTTGCTGGCAAGATTCTGGACCCAAGTCAAGAAAAGGAGATTCAGTGGGGTGGCAGAACAAAAGGAGGATGCCTCTGATCCTCTCTCCGCTGGTGTGCAAAGAGAGGCATTTCTATGCCGTTGGAAGAAAACAGACTTTTCGCTTTCTTTTATGAGCCTCAGATTCCAAGCTGTCGACAGAGAATGGGGCTTTCCCACCTCCGCTGCCAGCCAGGAAACGCAGGTGCCTTGTATAAAACGTTGCTACACTCTAGTAACTTCGGAGGCCTTATTTACAGGGCCGCACCACAAAATGTGTAGCAGACCCCCTTGCCTCGCACGACACCAACCACAGTTGCCGGCGAAATGTCAGGAAATCTGTTGTTTAGACCACGGTCACTAAACCAACACTGTCCAACAGGTACCAGCTGTGAAAATCTACACCCTAAACCAGTGTTTCTCAACCTTGGCAATTTTAAGATGTGTGGACTTCAATTCTTAAAACTGCCAAGGTTGAGAAACACTGCCCTAAACGTTTCTTCTGTTGAAGGTCCCGCAGGTTTCCCTGCAAACTGCTTATTGTCATAAGCAGCTTTTGCAAGCAAAAGTTATCAGGATTTTTAGAAAAAAAAACCTTTGTGCCTTGAGAGGGAAACGCCTCTTCAAAATCAGCCAAGATTTGTTGCCCGAGCTCGTCCTGGGCTGCCTTCACCCTGTCAAAGAGAGAACATTAATACCCCTGTCAAAGCTTTGCTCAAGGGCTGCAGAAGAAAAGATGGAGCTGGCCCTCAGCCAAAAGACTGGTGCTCGACAAGCCAGGAATCAAGGTGCAGATCTGATGCCCTTTAATCTAAAGCATTGTTTCTCAACCTTAGCAACTTGAAGATGTGTGGACTTCAACTCCCAGAATTCCCCAGCCAGCACAAAGAGTTCAAGCACTATGGGTAAAAGAAGTTAAATGCTTTTTTTTTTCTCCGGGCTGTTAGACTAAGATGCAGAGGGGCTGTTTTTGTGCAGCTGCGCTCCAAAAAATTACAGGAGCTGGGACGAGCACTGAATTTAACTCCACTGAAATTTAAGTAAGTTAATGGAATACCATTAACGTAGTTCCCCGCCTTCGCCCTGCATTTGATCATTGTCTTTAGGTAAGCACGTAAGAACAGACCTGCCAAGGTCTATCCTGGTTTACTCTTCTTGCTTCTCGCCAGATGCTCCGGGGAGGCTTGTGTGCTTGAGATGCAGATGCGCTCCCCTCCTGATGCTGCTCCCCTTTTCGACAGATGCTACTCCTGACCCACAGGTCCCACTGAGCCTTCAAGACCAACAGCCCTTGATAGATCTGTCCTCCATAACTTCATCCAATCCCCTTTTCCAACCCTCCCCATTTGTAGCCACCACTATGTCTTGTCCCGCTTCTGTCGGTATCTACGCACAGTTTGGATGAAGCTTGCAGAAAGCTGAAGCAGAGAATTTTAGGTCTTGATTTACAAAGAGAGGGAAGCCACTTCCGAAATGTCCTACCTACCAAGTTTAGAGGGCAGAGTTACTCCCCTTTCATGATAAACTCCTAGAGCAATCAAGGGCTAACGACTAAACGAGGAAGACTTCTCTAGACCTGGAGCCACATTTTGTACCATTGCTAGCACAATTAGAAGTTTTTGGACCTGAATGTTCCTCCAGGTGTATCTCCTGCAGGCATGAATAAATATTTACTGGATTTTTAAACTTCTGTTTGTTTGCTCTATGGCTGTATATTTTAATAAGCTACACCAGTGTTTTTCAAACTTGGCCACTTTAAGACGTGTGGACTTCAATCCCCAGCAAGCTGGCTGGGGAATTCTGGGATTTGAAGTCCACACATCTTAAAGTGGCCAAGTTTGAGAAACACCGAACTAAACTAAACCACGTGGAGTCCTTGAGGTTCTCTGAGCTTGGTTGTTTTCTTACAAACATTTCGTTACTCAGCTAGGTAACATCTTCAGTGCTAGAAGGGAGTGGGGCTTGCTCCCTGTTTATATACAGTAGCTTGCCCTGCCAGTTTGGGTAGGGGTGGGGTTTTTTTCCCCTTGGTAGTTCCTTGATTAAAATATTGTTTACTGCTTGATTGTTTGTCTGGTGTTAATCTTGGTGTTAATCTCTGCTTATCTGGGTGATGATTGCTGGTGAGGAGGTGTTCTGGTCTTTTGTCTCCTTTTTATTGTCTCTTTTGAATAATGTGTAAATGTTGTTTCTCTCTAGGTGCCTGTTGATGGCTGACTTGTCTGATTAAAGCTTCCAGGAATTCCCTCACATTTTTGGATTCAACAAAAAAAAACCCCAAACCCCACCCTCACTCCCACTGGCAGGGCAAACTACTGTACATAAACAGAGAGCAAACCCCACTCCCTTCTAGCACTGATGATGTTACCTAGGCAGGTAACGAAACGTCTGCAAGAAAACAACCCAAGGACTCCACAGTCCAACCCTTAGCTACACATATTCACTTCCATTGGTCCTAAATCATGTCTTGTGATATTGAACTGCACATTTTAATGATGTCCACAGAACATAATGTTTTGGGGGGCAGTCCCTGGTCCCTTGAATTATGCACTCCCTTTTTAAAACCGTAAGAAGGTTTCTAGTTCTGCAGCCAATGTGGTACGGTCCTTCTCAATCTGCACCACAGGCCCCTTTGGAGAGGTACGACTGCTTTCAGTCCTGCCAATGAAACTCCTTTGCGGGGGCTCCTCTGTTCAATAATAAAATTCAGCCCCCGCTTCATCCTGGGAGCCCACCTTCCTCCATCAGCTGTGCCTGGGAGACTCAACTACTTGCCTTTCCGAAAGCTGTCGGATCTGCGGGATCCCCATGTATTTGTTGAAGTGTTCCAGCACGTTCACAACCCCTTGCAGAAGGTTGGCCAGCTCCCCGTACTGCCGCCTCCTGGTCATGGCCCTGGGGTGACCGAAAGGAAGGAGGAGGAATGAATGAGGCTGGTGCCGGTGACTTCCAGGTTCCAGGTGGCTTCGCTCTTTCACCATGCTCAAACCAGGGCTGGGTCCCACAACAGATGGACTCGCTAACAACTGAACCCTGCGAACCTCCCCATTCTGGGAAGCCTCGCTCACGGTCACTCGTGCCTTGGTCACTTCCTGTTTGTATTACTGCAATGCACTCTACATGGGGCTGCCCTTGGACCACCCGGAAGCTACAACTGGTCCAGAATATGGTGACGCATGCAGTGTTGGGTGCCCCTAGGTTTATCCATATTACACCCCTGTTGCGCAAGCTGTACTAGCTCCTGATTTCCTTCTGGATACAATTCAAGCTGCTGGTTATTATCTTTAAAGCCCTACATGGCACAGGGCCAGGTTATCTGCGAGACCGCCTCTCCCTAAGGACATCTACCTGTCCTGCCAGATCAGACAGGGTGGGCATGCTCCTAGTCCCTTCCCTTAAACATTGCCATCTTATGGGATCCTGGAAGCATGGCTTTTCCATGGCAGCCCCTGCCCTATGGAACACCCTCCCCGAAGTCCAGCAGGACCCCACCTTCCTAACCTTCCGAAAAGCCCTGAAGACCTGGCTTGTCCTCCAAGCACTGGGATTGGGTGAGATGGATGAGACGACTTAGTTTAACGTTGGTGCCAGGTTTTAATGCTTGTGGTTTTAATAGATATATGGATGTATTATTGGCATACTGATGTTGCTTTAATTGCTGGTTGGGAGTTGCCCAAAGTTTGATATGGAAGGCTACATAAATGTTTTAAATAAATAAGTAAATAAATCTCCAGAGTCTTTTCTGTCCTTTATGGTTTTCTGTGCTTATGAACAAAAGGCAGAGTATAATCTGTAAAATACAGGAACAAAACACCACCCATCTGTGTAAAAATACTGAAAACACTGACTCCAGCTTTGACCTGAGTTTAACCAAATATACATTCTTGCTTCACCCATGTGTTAAGTGCAAACCTACATATAATTAGACATTTAATTGATTGTGAAGAACAGTAGCCTTCCAATTATGAGCAACAAATCAACTCTGATTTTACTATCCATTCAAAGATATCTTCTGCACTTTGAGGGCTAGAAATTTACTCTAGTTACCATGAAAGGCAGCATCTTCAGAAAAAATGAATTCAGTGTCCGAAACCACGTTCTAATATTTTACTGTGTTTGCACAGAATACAGTCCTGTCCCACCCCAGCACATAACTTACTCCAGCGAATCCACTCCCCCAGCTAACATGTGGAGATGGTTCAGCGTTGTGATGGAGGTGGTCAGGTGGCGTTTAGCGTGGTCAAGCTGCTTGATATCGCGGGTGATTTCTTTAACCTGTCAGATGTAGGTATGCACAGATATTTAGCAAAGAATTCAAGAGTCAGAACAGCCCCCATTCTGTCTGTGGGCTTTGGTGAAATGAAGAAAATGCAGTCCACAAAATAAGGGAAGAGACTTCAGAGGTCATCTAGCCCAACCCCTCCCCAAGCTGTATGTTGGGGTTAAAGTAGAAGGTCAGAGCAGAAGAAACTTCTAATAAATCATTTAAACATGAAAGACTGCAAATCAGCCTGTTCTTTCTTTCTTCCTTCCTTCCTTCCTTCCTTCCTTCCTTCCTTCCTTCCTTCCTTCCTTCCTTC